ACATCTCACACACACACACACACACACACACACACACACACACACACACACACGGCATTTGCTATCTCAACATTTCTGAAAACTTCCTCTTACTTGTTTGAAAAGCTAAGGAAGTAAGAGGGGCTACTACTCCTGAAGTAGGAAACAAGATTCGCTAATGAGCATGATGGTCTCTTTGACCCATTCTCTCAGCAACAATAAAAACGCAGCCACAGTTCAATTTAAGCAAACACCTAAATGAAAATTCAGATTTGCCGTATAGAAAACATTAAATTAATATTAAATCCATTCAATAGTCTCTTTTTTAAAGCATTTGGAGAATTCCTTTACTTAACAAGCTTCTCAACTATTCCAGAAAATGTTTTCACAGATTTGATAGCACAGGTACCAAGTGTTCCATAAACAACGAGCACCCTGCAAAACCAGATTCTAGTTTCCTTCAAAAGCTGAACAAAGTAAGTTTTAATCAGCTACATCTGAAATGCTAAGCAGCCACAAATGATTTGGATAAACGGACTTCCTCTGCCCCCTGCTGTATTCTAGGTAAATGACAAGACTTCCCAATTTAGCCTCAGGAGAGTCAAAATTGGCCCATACTACTAGCATCCTTTTCTAGCATATAGACTTTGTGACTCACCGTTGCATCTCAGCATATAACATACATAGCTGGAATATAGTGGGTGTCTAAGTGCCAAATGATGGGCATACAGGTATGTACACATTCTTAGTTATAGTGGATGGTCAGGGACTTTGGCTACAGTATGAAGATATAAGACAACTGGGGAAAGTTGAAGGCTTACTGGATATTTGATATTGAGTAATATTTTATTCTTTTAGAAGTGATGAGTATTGTAGTTGCTAAAAATAAGTCCTGATGGTTTACGGATACATACTGCGGTATTTATAATTGAAATGAGATATCTGAGATTTCCCTAAAAATAATTAAATTGGGGGTGAGGAGAGACATATGGGAGTATATAAATGAAACCAGATTGGCTATGTGCTGATAACTATTTGAGTGATGGGTACATGCCAGATCATTACACGGTTCTCTCCTTTTATATTTGAAAAATCTTCATAATCATGTCTTTAAATATCTTAAGGACATTTTCATTAAGTCCTGATTTAATCTGTGCCTGGCACTACACTTCCTCAATCAAGAGAAACACAGTCGGTAGGTGAGCACACAATGACACCAAAAACAGCCCAGAGGTAGGATCCTGACCTTTTTCACAGACATGGCAGTAAGCACAGGAAAGGTCTTGACAGCTCATACCATAGTCACCTGCAAGGTGGACAGGAAAAAACTCACTTAATATCTGTTTTTAAATGCATTATTACAGGCGATTTTCACCTTTCGTATTAACAGAATCTTCTCTCCATCTTCTGGTGCTTTTCCTAAACAGCCAAGACGGCTTTCACCTTGCGTTAGGGACATCACTCATCTGTATCTGAAACTTCGTATGGATTCTCACAGTTCCCCAGCCATCTCACAGTACTGTGGTGAGTATAAAAGTGCTGATGTATGTGGGGGTGCTTTACTGCGCCAGGCAAAGGCTGTGATCCCCACTCCTAACCCTTTTTATACATACCTTTGGGTAACTTTGATCTGGTCAACTGCTAACTTGAGTTCTGATGAGCCCTAAGACATGAAACTACAAGAGCATAGTAGTTGTATTACACTGAAATATGTCAAGAATAGATCAATTCCTGTCTAAACTCCAGCAAACTGCAAATCTAAAGCAGACACTCCTAGATCTGGTACATGACTTCGGTAGAGACAGTGGCAACTCGGTCCTGCTTGGGAAAGCCCTAATTTAGCTTGGTTTGCCCAGGGGCCAACTGCAAGTCCTCCCCATGACAGAGGCTCCAGGTGCACTCGAAGCGACAGTCATCTGAGCAGCAAACCGGGCCTCCTGGGAAGGTGGTGGCCAGGAGCACGGCTGCCAGCTCTCCAAACGGGTTTTCATCACCACCCCACATCTAGGACACATGGAAAAACACGCAGCCGGACAGGCCAATGCTGGTCGGTGTGGGGATTCGGGCCATGAATAAAACTGCTGAAACCTAAAAGTGTCTCCAACTGACACCAGCTACCCATGCTAGCAGATAAGCAGCTAGTCAAAAGCCAATTCCCTAGTTAAAAGACTCAACTGCTTAAAGTGGCTTTCTGAAAGGCCATTTTGAATACTTACATAGTGGACTACTAACAGAAACATCACAGTGTTTGCTGGTATATTTTTAATAGGTTCTTAACCAAGGCCTAAGCTTATTTTTAATCCCATAATGATGAAATAATGTAATTAACACCAACAGCACTCACACTACAAGGGTAAAGTCCTCCCCTGTCCAATCTGGAAGTAAAATAAGTGAAGTAAGTCCAGCTCAGAGTTCTTTGAAAACGTAAGCCTCAAAATGAAATACTGATTTTTGATTCTACAAAGACGATGTTCACTGAAGCAACTAGCTATCTTCATGAGAAATGTGTAAGGCATGCTTATAACAGAGTCACAAATGAACTGCCTCTTCCACAAAAGTAAATTGTCATTTTTTAAAATATATTTTTTATTGATATCAGAGGGAGAGGAGAGACAGAAACATCAATGATGAGAATCACTGACCAACCGGGAATCAAAATGTGACCTCCTAGTTCATAGGTCCACATGCAACCACTCAACCACGCTGGCTGGGCCAAATTATTTGCCTTAACTAGGAAGATAAATCACTTGTCTTAAATTTTTTTAATCCTCACCCAAGAATATTTTTCCATTGATTTTTAAAGACAGAAGGAAGGGGTAGTCAGAGAGAGAGAAACATCAATGTGCGACGCATTGTTTGATTGCCTCCCGCACGCACCTTGAACCAGGGCCAAGGACCAAGCCCATAACCAAGGTATGTGCCCTTGACTGGAATTGAACTTGGGACCTTTCAATCCTCTGGCCGATGCTCTATTCACTGAGCTAAACCAGCTAGGGCCTCAACTATTTTTGTAAAAACCTACCTTGTAATATAGATTACTAAAAAAAAAAAAAATTGTATCACAGAAAATGTACTACACTGAAGTTATTTCAGTCAACAGTTTATCTTTAACCTCTTTTATTGCTTCTTGCTTAAAAATGTTCAGAATCTTCCAGCTGAAACCAGTGTGTTCTTAGAATCCTTTATAGAAGTAATCTTCTCTGGAGAAAGCACACTCCTTCCAACAATACTAAAAAATCCAATGGTCTAGATTTCACAGCCCTTTAGTTTAGGAAAGAGTAAGCTATGTGTCTTAATTTCAGAAGAACTGTTATTATACAACAAACTTTTTATTTTTTTCAGTCATAAAAACAGTCCACAGCATTCATAAAACAGGGTAGTCAAAGAAATAAAAAGAGACACTTTTCAGGTGGATTCTTTATGTTTAAGAACAGATGAGTTGGTAGCAATTTAATACAGATGGAAACAAATACAACCCATAGAAAAACAGGAGTTGAAAGGGGGAGGAAATAATACCAACCAAGACAAACTTAGAGTTTTCAGGCATGCAATTCAATATCTGAATTTTCTTCACTTAAAAACCAAAGTAGGTGCTTTAACAGGTGTCCTAAAAGAAAGCTACAAAAATATTGCAAATGTTAACCTTACATATATCACACACACACAAAAATTAATAAATCCTGAGCTACACCCAGGCTAATCACAACAAGTTCTCCCTATCCAAGACAGACACAGAAAAATAACTTTTTACAAGCTTAGCTTAAAGGTACAGTACCTTAGAGCTCTCACTTGGGTGTTTCCTGCTCATGCTCTTTTCAATATAAACAAATGTGATTTATGTAATGGAATACATACTTGAAGAATTCCTTAAAGAAAGAATCACAAGTTTCATTTTATATATACAACAAATTTTTAATTATGTACTGAAAATAAATTACAGGAAATAACTTTAAAATGCAACAGAGAACAAAGTCACAATAAACATTCCCATTGGATTCCCTTGGGGGGTGAGATTGCAGTGCTCAAGGAAGATAAATATCACAAATATATCAAAAACTTCAAATAGTTTATGCATTCACACACCGACGTGAGCCACAAACATTCCTTCACAGGGACTGTACTTATTAGCCTACCACAGAACCAGATTTTGCCATAAACTACAAAACTTTTAATACAAAATTGTTATTTATATATTTATATTTCATATACATGCCCTATCTGTGAGTTTAGAAAATAAAAGCTACACACTGTACAGACACTCTTAACTCATAGCTGTAGGCAACATTTTTGGATGGAATTCCTCCCCCAATAAAATTAATGGCATATTTTATGTACATGAAGGCTAAACTGCATAATGACAGTTCAGATTCCCAGATATGCATCTCCTTTTAGGGCAGGTTTATAAATTTCAAAAGGCAAGACAAATGTATACCTCAGAATCACTTTCTTAGCTACAAGAGTTGTCATGTAATTTCTGTGAAGTTTCTGATACATGCATTTATGTAATACTGGTATTGAAGGCAGTAAAGCAATATATACTTTTAATGTAGTGTCTCAATAAAGGCTTCATTGTCATTCCAATCTGATTCTTTATACAGTGATTCATAGCTTCTCTAAAAATTAAAATTCAATGGGACACTGTTAGAGAGACTCTAAATAGATTTCTTAAAATATTTCCCTGAAATATCCTTTTACATAAAACAAATTTCACTAACATTAGCTTAAGTAAAAAGGAAAAGAAAGATTTAAAAACATGGCACAAATGTGCATGATGAACTAATGCTCCTCAGCCAATTTCCATGCCTTAGGAGCCATGAACAGAATGCTTAAAACCAACCAACAATTTTCACACTCTGTGGCAGCCATCTGTGAAGCCAGTTGTACTAAACTACTTCTACAGTTGATTGTAAACTTTGGTTTATTTGTATTTGAGTTCTCATTGTACAGCAAGCATGAACAAGAGGGAGTGGAGTCCATGAGGAGATGAACTGTCAGTCTGTCTTTAACCGGGCATGATGCGACACCTGGTCAGTCAGGCCTGCTTTGATAGAGTTTGTTACAGACTGCCTTATGTTTTCCTCCATCAAATTATCACCCAGGGGCTTCAATACCTGTGGTATGAGAAATGTGCAAAACAAATAAAAACATGAGGTAAAAAAGGAGTTACACATAAAAATAGATATAAAAATTCAATTCAAAGCAATGAAGAAAATAATCAGGAATGTGGAAAATAAAAAGATGCTTCTCCCAAAAAAAAGTTATGATGCTATAAATAATGCAGTTAGACATTTTTTAATGCAACAAACATCACTTTCCTCTTATTCAAACCATTTACAATTCCTATGAGATGGATGTGCAATTCCATACCCTATTTGCAGCATCAAATCTGGTATGTACACAGCATTTATGCAGACCGGCCCAGACGGTCCTGCTTATTGTCCTACATGTATAAGTGTGAACACTTCAGATAGAGAAAAAAGTTTAAAATACTGTCTAATTTTTCTTCTTGTTATTGTTGGATGGCAGTCTCTGTCGCTGTGCTGATGAAAGAGCACGATGAACCATTCGGCGTCTAGTAACTTCAAACAGTTTGGAAAACACCTAAAACACGGAGTGATTTGTTAGGAGAATCACTGAGTGCCTGTAAGTTAGCGTTTAAGACTACAGGAATTTGAGACTTTGTAGGTTTCTCACCTTCCTGGGACTCCTCTGAAGCAACAGAAAAGAGAAATGCAAAATACAATTTAGACAAGTTTTGTTGACACAGCACAGACCTTCTCTGACTAGTGATCTCCTTACCTCAACTACACTGAAAATAATTTCACCCACTTGAGATCCTTCCATTTAACTGTTTTGTAATGATAGCACCTCTAAAATCTTAAGAATCAATGCTGTATAGAAAATGACTGGTTTTCAAAAGAGGACATTGTACAATTATTGAAATTCTTGTTGCAGAACATTAGTAATGGTCCAAAATTTTAAAGTGGATAACACTTTTTTAAAAAGTGAAGTTGTAATAGCTTTTAATCCATCTTCTATTAGAAGGTATCAAAGGAAATATGAAGAGCCAGACTTTTAAGACAAAAATTTAAATTTAAAAAATATCCAAACATAAGCTTCCAAATCGGACCTGAATAAAAATGAGCGTTTCTCTAAAGAATAAATTCAAAATCCAAATTAATATAGTGGGTCACTTTATAAAATAACATTATTACAAGAAAAGTCACCACCCAATCAACTTTCTTTAAAAAAAATGGCTTACTTCTTCAGTCTTTGCATTTAAAGCCAAAACCAATGTGGACCTGCATATTCTACATCTTCAATTAAGCCCAATACTTCATCGGCCCAAAATGATATCTGAAAATGCCTTTTACTGTCCATCAGTAATAACTGTAGCTTTTATTCTGGTCCTCGACATAATGCTAAAGTATTTCATGATGATCACTTTAATGACAACATCCTTAAATGCAATTTTCTGTACATAGGAAATTCTAACATACAGTTGGCCAATATATAACATGGCTTGCCTTAGTAGAAACATGTCAGGTCCGACTTTGATTTCTGGGTGAAATAAAGATTATGATTAATAGCTGGTTCTCTGTAGTGCTTTGCTTTGTTCATCAGTATTTCCTTGGTACAGAGGTCAAACAAAGGTTTTTTTTTGGTGTAAGAAATCACTATTGGATTGTTCCTTGTAGTGTATCAGCAAATCACCACTATCTTCATGATAGGCAACGAAGACCTGAATGCCACCTAATATTTTCCCTGGAATATATGCATGCATTGGTTCTTGCCAATATTAGTAAGAAACTTCTTTTGCTTTCCTAAAGTACTGAACTTCCAAACTTCTTTTCCTTACCTTCATAACTCTTTCACCGATTACATTTCCTCTTCTCAAAGAAAGAAATCCTTAAAGACTTGCCCTGCCCACTGTTTGGCAGTTAGGCCTATGATTAAGAATCTGTCCAAAGGATATTACAGATTTAAGCCAAACAACACTCTCTGAAAGTACGACTTTAAAGAAAAAAACACTCTCCCATTCACACTTTATATTCAGATTATACATCCAAACAAAACAGAAAAATCCTTTTGACATTTTGTATATAAAAGAAAAGTAGGTGCGCAAGTATTGTGTGGGAGGAGGGGGAGTCACAGGGATAAGATTAGTCACTGAAAACCAAAAGACAGATACCAACCTGTTCCCACAGTGTTTCAGCAAGCTGATCAATCACTGTTCCAATTTCTCTGAACTCCCCAGAGTATTTAACATATGCCCAAGTACAAAGAGATGTCAGTGCCAAACCCATGACCAGGTTACACAAGACGGCTATAGAGTTTAGACCGATGAAGCCAGTCAGTCCTGAGATTATATACATAGCAAACATGACTGCAAACAGTGTGGCAGGTGTACGAGCAGCATAGAAGATATTTTTGCCATCGTTGTGCTTTATGAAATTTGCATAGGTTTCTTCGATTTCAGCTTCAAGCTGGTCCTGATAACGACGGCAGAAATCATCTCCACCCATTTTTTTAATTGAACGAAACTGTTTAATTGCCACTTCCTTGAGATCCAGGTGTTTTCGTTCCAGATCTGAAGGTGCAATGTAAGGCTTGTCTCCACCACATACCTGTACAGACACAATTACAGTACAAACGTTACATGCTAGAAATAATTCACACTTGAAAGTTCCCTACTCATAGTGTTGTCTCAAAAAGTCAAACCACCTACATGGTTCAATTTTAAATTTCTTCATTATGTCTCACACATAACCATAACCTACTTATTTATAACCTGTATGTTTAACTGACTCGGGCAAAATAAATTTTCCAAATATAACTAATACAAGACAAAAATAATTACATTGACATTTGAACCTGACTTCACTTGACCCACCAATACACCATAAGGGTACAAAAGACTACTAGCAAGGGAGTGGAAAAAAGATAATAAATTAAAAAGGTACTTTAATGTTCAAGTTATTAGTAAGCTTAGCATAGAAATTGCTAGTGCCCTTAAGCTAGTGTTAATTACATTAGAAGCTATTAATTAACAGCACTATGAATCATGTGTCATAAAATATTCCAGTATGGTTTGTGTAATAACTTACTACCCATCTCTTGCACTCTATGTGAAGTATTTTGTTAGTTTATTTCCAGCAGAATTAGATAACAGAGAATTAGGAAATGATGTAAAATAACATTGTATAAGGAGTACAATTTACTTCAATTATTTTACATAATAAAAATCTATCTCACTCTTTTTAAATTTTAGTTACAAATTTAAATTTAAATTTAAATTTTAGTTACAAACCTGTTCCATATTTCTGCAATAAATCTCTCTTGCTCCTGCTACTGCAGCAAGATTATTAGCTTCAGCTGTTGCCTAAAACAATAAAATGTGCCAATTTTATGCAAAAAAAACTGATGACTCTATAAATTCTGATCAACACAGTAAGTTATATACAATAAAGAAGTCTGAAAATGAACCAGAGAAAATATTATCAACTTCCGGTTTTCCTTTTCAATGAAACAGTAGTATAAAGAATACAGTAACGCTCTTTCTAGCTTCTAATAGAACTGTCTGCCTAATTTAATTTTGCTTAGGTTTGTTAAAATGGGTTTATAGAAAATACCACATACTAGTATGCTCAGGAAATTATAGGCAATTAGATAGACACAAACCTAAAATGCATCAAGTCTCCAGATGTAAAGAATCAAGTATTACCCAATATGGTTCTCTCTCTCATAATCAATATTACACAGGGATATTTTTAAATGCACAAAACTGCTTATTGGGTGAGTTTTATGAGAAAATACTATTTAGTCCACCATAAAGTGGAGAAATTGCCTGAGATAGCATTAGAAGTAACTCTAAATCATTAATACAAAAAGAAAGTAAGACTTATTTCAAACAACATTCACTGTCAAAGATGCAGAGGAAAGGAGAAGTGTGGCCCAGAGGCCCATTTTAAGCTAGCTTCTGCAACAGAAATGTTCCTACACTTTCTGAGCAACTAAAGGGAAGGCAATGAGGATTCTTATTTCTGGTGGCCTATCTGTGTGCAAGGTCTGCAATCTGTAGTTACCAAAAACTTCAGGACCCATGACAAGTACTGATTTAAATATCTGATATTTATATGCATGCAAAGAAGCACCACCCCATTTACAGCATTTACTAGTAACTCTAAAGCAAAGATTTTTTTCTCTTTCACAAATACATACATGTACGACGCACACACTACCTGAAGCATGGACTTTGGATGTGGAAGTTCCTCTCCTTGATAAATTTTAATGTAAGCCTAAAAATATTGAAGACTTGTTATATTGATAGGTTTCCAAAAGAAAGAAAAATCGTAATATAAATATAAAAACAATCCACACTATTAAAAGGAAAGCCTAGACTTTAAAAGTCATCCAGTCTCATTCCAACAAAATTAACCCTATGCTCAACATTATATTTTTTTTAGTTGATTTCAGAGAGGAAGGGAGAGGGATAGAGAAATAGAAACATCAATGATGAGAGAAAATTACTGATCGGCTGCCTCCTCCCCGCCCCCTACTGGGGATGTGCCCTTGGCCAGAATCAAACGTGGTAAATGAAAAGTCAGCAGACCAATGCTCTAACCACGTAGGCACACCGGCTAGGGCTCAACCTTATTAAATGCCTATGTTGCTAAATAATATCCTAGAGAAATGTTTCTAAATACAATTCCAATGTGCATAAAAGTTATTTCTCATATTCCAAAGTTATATATAAAATGCCATCCACTTTATTAAAAGAAACACATAATTCTCCACTACCAATGTTTCAACTAAATATGTTAGAAAACATTATAATTCAGTATTTTACTTAGACCAGCTTAAATTCTCTCTCAGTTTAAGAAAAAAAGAATTATGTACTTGTGGTTTAAGAGTAAGGCGGCAAGATGAGAGTTTTTAGTAAGTCCATATAGGAATCTTTCATCTCAACTTTCTATTGACTAAATTAAGTCATAACTAAACAAAGATAGTATGTATAAAATGACCAAAAATATACTCTTAGTTAACTGTGTTTTCCCTTCCACTTATCCATAACTACTATGAATAAATAAAGGTCTTGTTTTGTCTACCAAGCTATAAAATTTTGAAAAGAACAGAGGAAAAAAATACTACAAATAATTTACTTGCGCTCAGAAACCAGTTCTGATACTTTCAGCAGCTCTTATCAAGTCCTCAGAACTCTGAGAGAAGGCTTTGTAAGCGCTCAAGATGGAGAATTATGCTCCCAATCCCTATTGTCATTCACAAATGACAGTGGTATTACAATACAGTGAATGGTTCTTCTCTCCATATCAGAGCTGGAGAACAAGTAGGGTAGTTCTGTAAACAAAATCACTGTCCAGAAGATACAAGGTGTCTGCTAGAATGTTAAATAACCTTAAATGATGATATACCAAATTCAAGGCAGATATTATACTTTTGCTTTAAAATAAATTTCTTATACATATGTCAGCTACATTCTAGCTTAAGCAAAGTCATTTAATGTGAGAGTTTTCCTACCTTAAAATATTCTACAAGATCCCTGCAAGTGACTTTAGATCCACTTATCTCTTTTTCCACCAAATTCTCAGGGGCAAGCAGCAATGGCACCAGATTTCGAAGCTCTCGTTTAAAGTCTTCATCAATGTCTAGTGGACGTGAAATCAGTCAATATATTAGTCCAGAAAAGCTAAGAACTACCCAATGGTAAGAGCTCATAAAGTTCTATTTCATGAAATAAGAGTTAACAGTATCTATTACTTAAGTAGATTAACTTTAAACTCATCCAAACATGTCATATCCTAGAAAAAAATATAGCACCCCCAACACTTCCCCTCACACCCCAAGAAATCTTTCAGTCAAATAATAAAGTGTGGATTACACAAACAAATCCCACATTAAGTATTAACTAAACCAGTGGTCGGCAAACTGCAGCTCGCGAGCCACATGCGGCTCTTTGGTCCCTTTGAGTGTGGCTCTTCCTAAGCCTTAGGAGGACCCTAATTAAGTTAATAACAATGTACCATTGTTTAAGTTTAAAAAATTTGGCTCTCAAAAGAAATTTCAATCCTTGTACTGCTGATATTTGGCTCTGTTGACTAATGAGTTTGCCGACCACTGAACTAAACTATCCCTTTCAGAAGGCAAATAATTCAAAAATTTGTATTAATTGTTAAGATTTTTCCCAGCGATACTATAAAAGTTTCATCAATCTTTAAGCCTTTTTCCATTATTCTCAAAATAATCCAAAAACAAACATAATGAAGTTATACTACCACCCCTGAAAAGGAGAGACTTAAATCTGGTTGCATCAATAGAATACACTGGTAAAGCTTTATAGCAGAAAGCAATCAGATGAAATACTGAAATGTTCTCAGCCTTTAGAACTTTTAGGACATCAGTGCTGAGCAACAGACCACACTATAAAATGTTAATCAGTATGTCAGCTGTTTGCAAAAAACAATGAAAAACTAGCAAGACCACACAGAGTATTATAATCACATTATTAACAATGCATTAAAATGTCCTCCAGTATCAAACACAAAATTTAAGGAATCATGTATTTTTAAAAACTTTCAGCACCTAAAAAATAAGTTCTGATTTTAGCAAGAATGGGAATTCCCACCTTTCAATCTCCCATCAAAATTAGGATTAGTTGCAACTTTAAGACCAGGATGTGGTAAAAGGAAGCAACCAAGATTTGAGAAACAATTGTGAATGTGCTTCCTTACATTCTGTAGCTCTTCATGCTGATTTTGCTTTACCTGAGGGCAGAAGGAGACAGAATGAAGGTGCAAATAGGAGCAAAAAACTTTTTAAAGGAAACACACACATACTCAATGCATGCACACTTAACTCAGATACTATTCCAGATAGGTGTTTGACAACATAAAATTTTACTAAAGATCCATTTCTGACCACTTTGGTAAGACCCCACTTCGTCTAAAACCAGAAAAGACTGTTTTATCCCCCCTATGTTAGCTGCCAAGGACATAAAAAAATAAAAAAATAATTAATCATAATATCTAACACCAGAATAACAAATCATGGTTGAGATTTATAAGCCAGGTAATAAATTAAGAATCTGCCTTTAAAGTACTTACAATGGCAAAGATAAAAAAAAGTATTAATCTGCCTACAAATAAAAGGGTCAAATAATAGCGACAGTAAACTGCTCCAGCACAGTCCAAAAAACCTTAGAAATGTGTTAGGATTTCAGCTCTCAGTCCCAATGATTATTTACGATTAATGCTGGTTATCAATGTTTGGGGAAGAGAGATTGCTCTATATTTCCTGGAAGAAAATCTTAACTTTAGATTTTTAATAACTACTTATCCCAGTATAACTTCTCAAAAATCACTCTAAAAAACATACCAAAATACACCAGTCATAATCAACAAAACCTGGAAATTACCTAAATCGCTATCATAAGTAGAACTGAAAAATCATTGTTTATTCATACAATGGAATACTGCAGAGCAATGAGAATAAATGAATAAGCTACATGCAACAGTATGGATTAATCTCAGAAACATATTAATGGACAAAAGAAGCTATTCACAAATACATACTGTATATGATTCCCTTTGTAAAACGTATAAAAACAAAGCCAGTTAGAGGTCAGGATACTAGTAGAGGGTTTGTGGCTGGGGAAAGGGTGGGTGCCAGTGGATGGAGGTGGGTGATTCAGGATGCCAATAACATGGTGACTATGTTTAATCTGTACAAAGTCATCAAGCTGCACACTGATGATTTTAAGCACTTTCCTATGTCACTTCAGTAAGACACTAAAAATCCCTCTTGGCTTTGAAGTACGTAATTCTCAGTTTCGGTAGTATGCCTCATGTGCTGTGTGTTAATTTCTTCTGAACAAACCAGAGAAAATTCTTGATGACTAAAATGATCTCCAACAGTAGGGTCTAAAAACAAAAATGCCTTTCAAATAATCCAAGATTGAGGAGCTGGTTTTAATCTCGTTTTAGAAATAAGACAACTATAGTGTACCCAAAGTTCATTAATGCGGTTGAGAAACTAAATGTGTCATCACATAGGCAAAGAAAATTGTATTAATCAAGACAGAACCCGCTCCCTTATGAATAAAGGGACCTTTATGTATCTTTTGTGTATGTAAGTGGATGGGTAGTATCTGACATAAGGGTTTCCCAAATAATGCCACGGAGAGTACCTGTAGGAATAAAGGATCGTGTTGGCAAGGTTATTTTCCAGGACTGCCTTGGTGTGGCATCTGCATGGGCCAGGAGACTGGATATTTGGGTTGTAGTCCAGTTATCAATAATTAGATGAAATGATCAAAAGCAAGTCACTTTTCTGGGTTCTAGTTTTGTTTTTTGTTTTTTAAGAAGACTGAACTAGATGATATTTAAGATCCCTTTCTAGCTCCATATGCTGTCATTCTATGAGACAGTATTCCTTGGAGAGATGGCCTCACATCATCTGTGCTCAGTGCACGCACATTACATTATCCAGTCTATTCCAAATGATCAGAACATCAGCTGGGCCAGAGAGGAACATGCATGCAATCTATGTAGGTAAGTAAGTCACTGTCCTCTTTTCACCAGTTATGTGTGGAGTCATCTGGGCTAATTGGGATACTCAACTTATTCCAAGGGTACCCAGAGATTGGTAGTCTAAGCAGCAGTACAGGCAGCCCACTCCTTCACCTGGCTTGGCGCTTACACTCTCCTAAGTGGGGCTTACCTGCAATCTCTTTTCAAGGAATTGTTTTCCACCTTCCAAACCATATGAATGTTCATAAGGGTAACTCCAATCTCGAATCAAAAACATTAATGTCTATACACAGGGGGGAAAAGAAATCATTTTTACAAAATTTTACCAAAAAAGCCACTATTTTAACAATTGAAGCCAAATAAGGCCCTAAACCAGTGATGACGAGCGAAACTTTTGAGCTCGGCGTGTCAGCATTTTGAAAAACCCTAACTTAACTCTGGTGCCGTGTCACATATAGAAATGTTTTGATATTTGCAACCATAGTAAAACAAAGACTTATATTTTTGATATTTATTTTATATATTTAAATGCCACTTAACAAAGAAAAATCAACCAAAAAAATGAGTTCGCGTGTCACCTCTGACATGCGTGTCATAGGTTCGTCATCACTGCTCTAAACAATCCTTATAAAAAATTGTAGTATTAAATAGTTAATACTGTTCATAGTTATATCAAGGGCCTACCTAAACTAACACTCCCAGACCATATACCACCAAACAATTGCCTCCATTTGAGAACTTCGCTATGTTTAAAGAGCCACCACAAGCAATACTGCAGGTTTTTTAAAATTAACTCCCCACCCAAAATGTGACAACCAAAAATGTCTCCAGACACTGGCAAATATTCCATTAGTGGTAAAAATACCCCAACTCAGACAAAAATGAAACAGGACCAATAGAGTGTATTTCATCCATATGCACAAAATGAGCCTATAACGTGCCCAAGCATTTCATAAAAGTGATCACTTGAGCCAGACAAGACTGAGGCAGAATTGTTTTTAATAAATCTCTGTCATGAAAGGGCTCCAGAGAAGCAAGCAAAGCAAATACTTCTAAAATAACTCCACCCAAATTAATTCTGACAATATTCTGTACCTATCATTTAAAAAACATGAGGATAAAAGAGCAGAAGCGGGGAGAAATAGAAGTAATTCTCTATGAAACCAAAATAAAAAACAGGATTAACCTCAACTTGCAATACGCCACACCAAAGAAGCCTATACTATTTTGTAGTAGTTTATCATGTTAAAAGAAATTTAAGTGACTGTCTTAAGCTTTAGAATTAAATAACATCTAATTAAGAATCTATAGTCATTTGTTCTATTTCCTACTAGTATTTGGTTAGTCTACAATTGATAAGTTGGTGATAACATTAACATAAATTAATATCAATTCTGCTGAATCTATTGCTAAAAATGAGTTTGTTGTAATGACCTGTTTTCAGTTACAAAATAAGATGACTTGATAGCTGTACATAGGTAACTTTTAAAAAATGATAAAATATTTATTTACCTGAAATGGTTTCTGGTAGATTTCTTCCATTGCAAGCCTGCCATACTCTGTAAATAACTATTAAATTAAGTTATTTTAAATAATGCCTCCAAAGAGATTGAAAGAAGACATCTCTAAAACTGTTTTACAACAGACCACTCACTAGATGTCAGATATCATTTGAAAGCCAAGCATTTAATTTTCTAACAGACTGGATGGGTATATATTAAAATTTAATTAATAAAAAGTTTAATGAATAAGAAGTCAAACAGCAGTTTAAAATCATGCAGTATTAAATCTTCTTACAATGTTATAGGCTTTTAGGGGTAAAGTCACAATAAAGTAGGAATTAATTTTTCAATACGTGGACATACATTAAGTCTTACATACCTGCAAGTGCTGAAGATCATCTTCTTGAATATTCTGAGACAAATTATATACCTATTAAAACAAAATTGTTTTTACTGGTATTTTATTTTGAATATCCAGCTGTGTATAGCTTTACTTATGGAAATAAAGGCTACTTTATGCCTCAGTACAAATGAATCACTTAGCCACTCACTATCTTAATCCATGGCACATGAAAAGGATATTCTCTTTTTTCCTAATAGTCAGGATAAAACATTCAGAGGAAAACAGTGGTAGTAAACTATAAAAATCATGAATACATGCATATGGGGCCTAAAAAGGTATATTAAGTAGTAAGTTTCTATTTTCCTTCTCAAGGTTACTTTAATGTTATTAAACAGTTTTTTTTAAGTAAAGATTATTTCCAAAATTATTTTTTCCAAGTCAATGAATGTGAGGGGCATAGTACTACAAAGATAAATTCCTCCCTGATATTAGTACAATCACAGTATATAGCTGATAGTTACTCGGTGGGTGTCTCAACTACCATCGATTCTAATATGGTTCTCTTTTTACATAAGTAAACTCATCAGACAAAATAATTTAACATGAAAGTTTCAACAGCCTGTGCTTACTGAAAAAAAAATTAATAACAGTAGGTGGCACTCTCGCCCTTTCTGAAATGTTTAGGAAGCTTTCATAGACCAGAGCTAATGACAGAAGGTCTAAGTACTCTCAAGGAAGGAAAGTTGGAGAAAAGATCTACTAGGTGCAATCCTTCTGGCTCAGGTCTTCATAAGGTGACCTAGGCCACCACAGGAGAAAAATGGATGTCCACAGACGTCACTCTGCTAAGAAATAACGTTGTCTAAGAAAATAGGGTTGCTCCAAAGACAGAACAATTTGTTCTAACAGCAAATGAGTGATAATCTAGCTGACTCTCTTGGAAGTCAAGAATATAAACAGCCAATATAGGTCAGCAAAATTAAAATAATATTCTCAGCTGACTAACTCCAAACAGATAACTTAAAAAAGTAACTAATGACTGAAGTGATTAAACTCTAGATTTAAACTTAAAACCAAGAAAATAAATAAATAAACATACAAACTTAAAACCAAAAGCATGACCAACCTATTTTTACCACACGGGCCTTAGCTTTTAGATAAGAGGTAAGATCCTTGTCTGAGCCAGGTTGCAAATAGCAATGAGAGACAGGATTTGTTCATTTAGATCATTAGTACTTAACATACTGTGTTGCACTTAATAGATGTTCAATAATTATTTGTTGAAAGTATAAATGAAAGGAGGATCAATTTGTCATTGATCTATCAGCCAGACAGCTTATGTAAGGAAGGTGAGAAATCTAGCCTCAAAGACCAGGAGGAAAGCAATAATAAAATATAACTTTAACCTTCCTGGTTATTAATAGCTTACAAAGCACTTTCTTATGCATTACCTCATTTAGATCTCATATCTGACTGCACACAACCACCACATGTGAGATAGGCAAGATGGGTAAAATACTCATTTCATGAGTAAGAAGGTGGATGAGTGACCATAAATGATTATCCAAAACCAAGCCTTCTACTACCATAAAGTTGAATAAACAAACAAGAGAAAACCATGGTACAAATTTTAGGACAGAGAACTCCACCCCACATTATACTTTAAGGCAGTGGTTCTCAACCTTGGCTGCACATGAGAATCACCTGGGAATCTTTTTAAAATCCTGATTTCTGGGCCTCATCCTCCAGAAATTCTGTTTCTTTGTTACTAATGTTGTGGCCCCACCCCATAACAAAGAAACAGAATTTCTGGAGGATGAGGCCCAGAAATCAGGATTTTAAAAAGATTCCCAGGTGATTCTCATGTGCAGCCAAGGTTGAGAACCACTGTTTTAAGGCAAGCCACAATGCCAGCTAATCTGAAGGGCTATACTGTGATAATATAAACACAAAGATGTGGTTTCTGCTTTCCTAAAGGGATTAGCAGTTCTGCCACCTTGCAAGATTAGAGAAAAAGAGGGTGAACAAAATAGACAAAGGAGACTGAGGATCCCCAATAGTATCATTTAGTTGATAGTGACAGATATCCCAAACCCTATAATAAACAGAAGCCAGGCTGAAAAGTACTCCTCTTTTATCTCATAATATCCAAAACTTCCTTCCACTCAGACAGCTAGATACTTCAAATTGAGGAAGAATGGAAATGGGAGACTGGTCATATGTTCCAGATATTACTGGAAAGCAAAACAAAAATTCCAAGAGACTGTGACAGCATCGCCTATAACCTACCACTGAGAAGAAATATTTCTTATGTCAGGAGTACATGTCTGGCAGCCATATGACTGAATCCAACTAAGGATAACATGTAATAATAACTTTTCCTTTAAAAAAAAAAAAGGCATTAGATACTATGAAGAAAAACCAAAGGAATTGGCTATTTATTGGTTTATTACTTTCTTGGCAAGCACTCAAAGTATACAATTTTATACTGTGAGCCAGAACAGCAAGCATGAAATGTAAATAGCTCTAACTTTAACCCTTTTTTCTCCGATCAAAAGGCATTTTGAGGAAGAGGAAAGGTATTAGGCTGATCTGAACCAATCATACCACAGCATCTCATGTCTCACCTGGACTGAGCTAGTCATAGTGCTCAGAGCAAACACTGTTGCACAGTCTTTGATTGTTGACTGGCTATCGAAGGCACCCTGAGTATCCATTAGCAGCACAGCCACCTAGAAATTTAAAAGTTTAAAATACTAAGTAAAATATTCACCAATAGTGACTAAAAAAAATCTATATATATAAAAGCCTAAGTGACTGTTATGACCCAATGACCAGAATAAACAGAACAACCAGCCAACCACTCACTATGACATGTGCTGACCACCAGGGGGCAGACACTCACGCTCAATGCAGGAGCTGCCCCTGGTGATCAGTGCGCTCCCACAAGGGGAGCGCCACTCAGCCAGAAGCTTGGCTCACAGCTGGCGAGCGCAGCTGCGGTGGCATGAGCCTCTCCCAACACAACGGTAGCGCTACCAAGCAGTGGTAGTAGGCACAGCGGGCCGGGATGAGTGCGAGCAGTGTGGTACCCGGCTTGGGTTCCTCCCTAGCCGCCAGCCACTTGGTGCACTGCTACATCCTCCAAGGAGTCCCGGATTATAAGAGGGCACAGGCCAGGCAGAGGGACTCCCTTTCCCCAACCCCCACCTCCACGCCCTGCCTGTGCACAAATCCATGCACCAGGCCTCTAGTCAAATATAAAATGATAAATGCTAACATCAGTAATTAAGACAAGAAAAGTACTCTAAGTTAACTATCTCACAGATTTTAACATAATAATCCATATACAAGGTGGGGCAAAAGTAGGTTTGCAGTTAAGAGTACACAAAACAGTTTATTCTTTTATTATTATTTATTAATTCTTGTATTACCTTCCATATGAACAGCTGTAAACTTATTTTTGCCCAACACTGTAAGTTAAAGTTACCAGACATTAATAGTTCTATATTGTTTTAACCTTTAATACTAGAAAATAGCTCAAGAAAGAATACGGGAGAAAACAAAGTAAGTATAAATATTTTACTTTTGTTCCATCAGGTCTGTCGATCACAAACACTTCATTCCAGACTTGTATGCCTGTTGTTTCTCTTTCACAACCACCTCGCCATTTAAAGCCAGTCAATGGTTCGTTGTTTCCACCAATCCAACTTTGATGATCCTGTTAAAGTCAAGCATAAACGTAAATTAAACACAAAAATTAAGAACTAGAAATATAAAAATCACCCACTTTTTATTTTACAGATGAGGAAGGTAAATCCAGTGAGATTAAAATACACTGGAACATTACACAAGCAGTTACAAAAGCAGTCCCAAATCTCATCTGAAGAGGTCCATCAAATATGGTCTCTCTCACATCTAAACCCTCTCAAATCTGCTCACATTTTCATTCTCTATGCTTCTAAATAAGTGGAGTCACACCACTTTTCCCCATTTTGGAAAGTTTTCTTATTCTATATAATAAAAGCCTAATATGCTAAGTGTCCAACCAGTGGGGTCCCTTGGCCTGGCCTGTACCCTCTCGCAATAAGGGTCCCCTTGGGGGGTGTCAGAGAGCTGGTTTCGGCCCAATCCCCACAGGCCAGGCTGAGGGAGCCCACCAGTGCATGAATCCGTGGACTGGAACTCTAGTGTTTAATAATCATAAAAAATAGCTACCATCTATTTTTGACATCAAAGTTCCCGACAGAATGACTGTCAAAAACAGTATATCTCTCTTAGAATAACATATACAATGTTTTCACACTAGCTTAATGTTCTCTTTAAAAAAATATGGACTTTAAAAATAACCACAAGACTTGCTTGGAACCTGATTGAAACAATCCAACTGTAAAAGTCTCTTTCAAATCCTAAAAAAAATCTGAACCCAGAGTGGGTACTATATTAGATGGTGTTAAATCAAAACAAAGTTGATTCTTTGCTATGATAATGGTATTATGGTTATGTTGTTAATAATAATATTAACAGAGTCCTTTTGTTAAATATGCATGTATTTATGGTGAAAGGCTATATCTGCCATTTGCTTAAAAATGTTACATCAAAAACAAAAAAGAATTGCCTAGCCAGCATGGCTCAATGGTTGAGCATTGACCTATGAACCAGGAGGTCATGGTTCGATTCCTAGTACGGGCACATTTAAAAAAAAAAAAAGAACAAGTGTAACAAACAAAACAGTTGCAAACATAAGAGATATTAATCCAACTATATCAATAATCACTTTAGATATGCATGATCTAAAATAAAGCAATTAAAAAACAGAAACTGTCACTATGGATAAAAAGACCCAACTATTCACTGTCTACAAAAAACATACAGTTTAAATATAAAGACAAAGGTAGGTTAAAAGGAAGTTATACCATGCAACCACTAATCAAACAAAAGCTAGAGTAGCTGTACTAATTTCAGACAGAGCTGACTTCAGAACAAGGAAATTATTAGCATAAAGAGTGGTATCTACCCTAATAAAAGACAAAGATGCTAACTGACCATACCTTCGCTACACTCATCAGCCAATCAGAAGAATATGCAAATTAACCCAACAAAGATGGCCGTTAAATTTGCATACTGCAGGCAGATCTCGCTGCGCCGCCCGGCCTGGGGCAAGCAGCAGCGAGATCCCGGATCTGGGCCTGCTGTGTGCAGCCCGGGGCAAGGGGGGCAGGCAGCAGCGCGATCCCCAGCCACAACCCACCCCAGTGCGGGATCCGGGCCTGCCGTGTACAACCGGGGGAGACGGGGCAGGCAGTGCGGGATCGGGTGTGCCATCTGCCACCAGGGTAGCGGCTCTAAGCCAGCAGGTGGTTATCTCCTGAGGGGTCCCAGACTGTGAGAGGGCACAGGTTGGGCTGAGAGACACCCCGCCAGTACACAAATTTTTGTGCACCGGGCTTCTAGTTA